AGTTCTGCCGTGATGAATTATCTTTTTCTGTTTATCTGAGAATGTTTTTGTTTCCCTTCCTTTTTGAAGAAAAATTTTTCTGGGTATTGAATTCTTGTTTGAAAGAAAGTCGTCTTTCAGCACTTTGAATAAGTCATCACACTTCCTTCTAGCCTCATGTTTCTGATGAGAAATCAGCTGTTAATCCTGTTGAAGATTTCTGGTGCCTGCTGAATCACTTCTCTTTGCAGCTTTCAGGATTCTTTCTTCATCTTTGTCTTTTGAAAATTTGATTATGATGTGTGTGGTTTGGAGTTTTTTGAGCTTGTCAGGTGTGTAAATTGCTTTTTTTTAAATTATGGAAGTTTTCATCCTTTATTTCTTCAAATATTTTTTCTGGCCATTTCTTCTCTCCTTCTGGGGCTCCCATTATATCTGTGTTTTGTGCTTGATGGTGTCCCACACGTCTCTGAGACTGTTCATTTTTCTTTATTATTTTTTCTCTCTGTTCCTCAGACTTGATAATCTCAATTGACGTATTTTCAGGTTTACTTATTTTTTCTTCTACCAGCTCATATCTGCTCTTGAGCTCCTCTTGTGAAATTTTCATTTCTGTTTTGTACTTTTCAACTCGAGAATTTCTATTTGGTTCCCTTTTTAAATATGATTTCTATTTATTGATATTCTCTATTTGATGAGACATCATTACCATATTGCTATACTTTCCTTTAGATCTTTAGACAACATTTCCTTTGGTCCTTTGTCCATATTTATAATAGATGATTTAAAGCTTTGTTTAGTAAGCTCAACTTCGGGGCTTCCTCAGGGACAGTTTATGTTGATGGCTTTTTTCCCTGTGTATGGGCCATACTCTTGTTTCTTAGCATATCATAATTTTTGTTGAAAACTAGACATTTTAAATAATATAATGTGGAACTCTGTTATTCAGACTTCTGTTTCCCAGAGTTTATTGTTTGCTGTTGTGTTTTTTAAGTTATTAAAGTCTGTATTCTGAAAAGTCTGTATTCTTTGTTGTGTATGGCCACTGAAGTGTCTGCTCAGTGAGCTTCATGGCTCACTAATGACTGGACTTATATTTTCTTAAATATCTTGAACCAATAAGTCTCTGAGCCTTTGCTGAGGATGTGTATGTGCATGTTGGGGCATGCTTTCTATGCCCTGCAGACAATTTACAACTCTGTCTTAGCCTTCACTTCCAACTTTCCCAAAGCCTCAAGGTCAGCCAGAGATGAGAGATTAGGGCTTCCTTGGGTTATTTCTAGGCATGCACACAGCCCTGCACATGTGCATGACTTTCTAAATTGCCAATAAGGTAACATTGCTTGTCAAACACCTGCAACACACACCTCCGCCACACACACACGTGATTTGTCAGATTTGCCTTTTAAATTTTTTGATCAGCTTATTTTTTGCCTTAATTGTGATCACTGCCTCAGGCATCTGTGATGTTAAACAATTGCTGCTGATTGTTTTTGACAAACACCTTCGGGGAAAGGCTGTTTGCAGTGAGTAAGCTCTGATTCAGGCCAAATAAAGAGAAGTTCTGTGAGTGGGGTTTGCAGGTCACTTTCAGACAGGTCAGATAATGGCAGTTCCCTGGGAATGGAGCTTTGGGGACAGAACTCTAACCCTGTTGTCCTCCACTGGCTATGAGGCTGCTGGTTCTTATGGCTACCTTGATTGTAAGGTTTGATTTTCAAGGCTACAGAACACCTAAGTAGAGGGGATTTGGAATAGAGTATGTTAAAACACTACTGTACTACTGTTTTTATCAAAAGTCAGTTATTTTTCTTGAATAAATGCTCCTCAGATTGTTGCAAGCCTCTGGTCAATTTCTAGAACTATAAAAAGTTGATTTTGATAGTGTTCTCATTGCTTTTATAGAAGGGCTCACTTTTGGAGGTATTTGCTCCACCATTCTGAAAGTGCTTTTTCTATACGTTTCTTTACCTTTAGAGTGTTTTCTTTTTTTTTGCAGACACTGTATCATGTCCTGCTTTTTTATCCAACCTGACAATTTCTGCATTTCAATTAGAATGCTCAGAATATTTACATTTATATAATTATCCACATGGTTGGGTTGTCAATCACTTTGCTATTTATTTTCTATTTGTTCCATCTGATTTTTTTAACCCCCTTTTCCTGCTTTTTTTTTGGAAATTTACTGAGTATTTCATTAAAGGATGGCAGAATTTGTAGAATTATGGATGAGAAAAAAAAGTCATGGCTTCTTGCATATCTTACAAATTGGAAAGAGACTCAGTCTCCAGTGAGAACAATTAGGATTGTGCTGTCCAACAGAAATATAATATGAGCCACAAATTAGAGCCAAAGATGTAATTTTAAATTTTCTACAGCTACATTAAACAGTTAAAAGAAGTGGATAGGGGCTGGCCCCGTGGCCGAGTGGTTAAGTTTGTGCACTCCACTGCAGGCAGCCCACTGTTTTGTTGGTTTGAATCCTGGGCACGGACATGGCACTGCTCATCAAACCATGCTGAGGCAGCATCCCACATGCCACAACTAGAAGGACCCACAACGGAGAATATACAACTATGTACCGGGGGGCTTTGGGGAGAAAAAGGAAAAAAAATAAAATCTTTAAAAAAAAAAAAGAAGTGGATAAAATTAATTTTAACAATACTTTTATTTAAATCCATATATTCAAAGTATTATCCTTTTAACATGTAATTAATATAAAAGTTGTTAGTGAGATATATTCTATATTGTTTTTTGTAATGAGTGTTCAAAATTTTTTTGAACAAGCCTTCAAAATCCCCCAAATCTTGTATTTTACACTTAACAGTCCATTTCAGTTTGGACTAGTCACAACTATAGGCATAAGTGGCTAGGAGCTACCGCAGTGAATAATACAGATTTAGACAGTCTCTAACAGGTCTGATTTTAATGAGGCACATTAGGAAAAGAAGCTGATGGATAGAATGAAATTTGCTGAGGATCTTGATTTTAATAGATTTTAATAATCAATAGGGAATAAATATATTAGGACAAAAGTGGGAAATAGAGTAAGAGGTAAAAGTAGATGGAGTCAAAATAGCTGACTTAGAAAGTAATCTTAACTGCTATGTGCAAAGGGATGTGATGCCTTAGTCATTTATTCATTGCAGTAGTTTATGTTATGATGGCAGATGGTAATGGTTTTCAGTCTAACTATAGCTAGCGTTGGTTGAATACTCTGTCAGGCACTGTTTAAGCACTTTGAATGTATTAACTCATTTACTGTGTGACTTTAAGTAAGTAAATCACCTACACCTTCTTGGGGCTCTGTTGTTTTCGTTTATAAAAAGTCTGAAACTGTACTAGATAACCTCTAAGCTTCTTCTTAATACTGAAAGTCTGTGTTTTTGGATACATTGATGAGGAAAATAAAATTTCTATCATCAGGGAATTTATAATCAGAAGATGTAAGATGTACCCACTTAATTAAAATACGTGAAGACAGTAATTAGGCCCTTATGAGAACTACAAAATGCTATGAGAATCTAAAACATACTACTTGAATACAGATCTGCCTCAACTTATGATGGGGTTACATCTCAATAAACCCATCCTAAGCTGAAAATATCTTAAGTTGAAAATGTATTTAATATACCTGACCTACTAGACATCATAGCTTAGCCCTGCCTACCTTAAACTTGCTCAGAACACTTACGTTAGCCTACAGTGGGGCAAAATCATCTAAAACAAAGCCCGTTTTATAATAAAGTGTTGAATATCCCCTGTAATTTATTGAATACTGTACTGAAAGTGAAAAACAGAATGGTCCTATGAGTATGGAATGGTTGTAAGTGTACTTGTTTACTCTCATGATGGCGAGACTGACTGGGAGCTGTGGCTCCCTGCCACTGCCCTGCGTTAGGAGAGAGCATCTTACTGCATATCGCTAGCCTGGGAAAAGATCAAAATTCAAACTTCTAAGTATGTTTCTACTGAATGTGTATCGATTTCACACCATTGTAAAGTTCAAAAATCTTTATATCGAACCATCGTTAATTTGAGGACCTTCGGTGTAGTAAAGTCATAATAAATGTTTAAACTAGATTGAATTGAATAGAAATAGCTGGTGAATCAGGAGAAGGTTCTTGTAGGAAATGGCAGTTGATGTAAGCCTTGAGAAGTGGCAGAGTAAATGGAGAGGAGATGGAGTGGAGTAGTAAGGAGTAGAAATCCAGATAATGGAAAACTGTGAGACAGGAAAGTAATGTGTGTGTTCAGAGGACAATAAAAAATATACTTTGGTTGTATTATTAGGGAGTGTTGAGTGATATTACTATGTGGGTAGGTTGGATTCAAATCTTAGCCTTTAATATCCTATTAACGGTATGGCTGATGACTGACAATGAACATGGCAGGGACTGCAGAGACAGTGCTGTGTATTCTTTTAAAACCCCACATTTTATGTCTATACTTTCTGTCTGTCATGAGGATAGTTAAGTGCAATTTCATATTTAAAAATATTTCATTGGGCTAGAAACTTATAATTCACTGGCTTTGAAACTTTGTCATATTGCTTTTCATGAGGGTGTGTGTGCGCTGCTGTTTAGGGTAATACAGGTCAGGTTTGTGCTTTTTCTTTTCTTTTCTTTATTTTTTTGTCCTCTAGTATAGTGCTTTATTTCTGCTGAGTTTAATCCTTTGTGATTAAATGATGCTGAATAGCTTTATGTCAGCATTCAGCATAAAGTGGGTGCCTAAGGCTGACTGTTTAAATCTATTAGTGTCTGTCCCGAGAGCCAGAATGTGGAGCTTTGAATACGGCACAAGTCACCAAACGGAAAATCATAGATTTCTCAGACAGGTGGAAGTTATAAAGGCATTTCATTTAACTCTGTAAACAGGGGAATCTCTCTCTTTTTATTTGTGCGTATTTTTATTAGCTTAGCAGACTAGCTTCTTTATGTAATGTTTTATGAGTGATTTTACTGGGATAGTTGAGGGCATACATAAAGCAGTTACATCATCTCTGTAATTTCTTTCAGGTAACTTGTCCAGGAGTGCTACTGAAAGACAAGGAGGACATCTATCTTAGCATCTGTGTGTTTGGCCAATACAAAAAGACACAATGTGTCCCAGCCACCTTTCCACTGGTCTTCAATGCCAGAATGGTGTTTGAAAAGGTGAGTTCAAATATCAGATCACATATTAACAAGCAAAAAATCAAAGCAGTTCCAAATTTTGAGTAAAAGCCCAGAACACAAACTATTATTGCTGACTGCATACTTTGACTTAATTCAAAAGGAGCTTTGTAACTTAAATTTGGAAGCTTGAAAATAAATATGCATTATATAATACAATGAATCAATTGCGTTTTTTGGTGATAGATCAGTTTATGTCTAAAATTGTGTTAGCAGGTTTTATGTAAAATATAGCACCTTGAATTCTAAAAAGTATTTTTCATAAAAAAGAGAGAGGAGATATTAATAGGTGAGAATAGGTCATATTTTACTTATGGCTGTCTTGTGGTACTTCTTTTGGTCTCTTTTCTTTTTTCCTCTAAAACTGCTGCTTTTGGTTAATTATTACCAATCATATTTCTCACTTTTTTTTATTTCCTCCTTTCCTTTTCGTCTTCTCCCTCCCTCTCTCCCTCCCCCCGTCCTTCCATTCCTCCTTTTCTTCCTCCTTCCTTCTTCCTTTCCTCCACAAGTAGTTACCCAGTTCCTGCTCTGTTTTGTGCGCTGTTCTGGGCACTTGGTAAACAAGACGAGAATCCTCCTCTCTTGGAGCTTTCACTGTAATAGGAGAAACAGACAATAATCAAGTAAACACAGAAATGATATAATTTAGATAGTGATAAGTGTCATGAAGGGAATAAACGGAGGGTAAGGGGACAGAAAGGGACTGAGGGATTAGGAGGATTGTCTGTTTTAAAGGGTGGTCAGAAATGCAATAACATCTAAGCTGAGCCTGAATTATGAGACAGTATCAGTTATTTGAAGGTCTGGGAGAAAAGCATACTGAGCAGAGGAATGGCAAATAGAAAGGCTTCTTGTTGGGAATAAGCTTGATGAGTTGGAGGAACACCAAGAAGGCCAGTAAGACCATGGTAACAAACAAAGGGAAGAGTGCTAGCAGACGAAGTTGGAGAGGGAGGCAGAGCCGGCTATAGCGTTTGTTTGTTTGTAAAATCTTCCATAGTGATCGTGGGAAGCAGAGAGGAAGTGACAGTTCTCAGTAATGTCAAAAGTTTCTTGGTTGGGAAAGGAATATTTTGGGAACGAGAGTAAAGAAACAAAGACTGTTTTATATGTATCTTTCTTTCACTTCCCCTTCTTCCTGCTTGCCTCTGTGTTCTCTCGCTGTAGGTGTTCCCTGAAGCGGTAGACCCTGGAGATGTGGTTGCACAGCTTGAATGTGAGTTTCTAATTTTTATTTCCCAATTCTAAGACATTTTAGAATTATACTTTTTAATCTTAGGCTTAGATAAAAGTTTAAAAGGGTCTAATAATAGAATTTTTAAAATCCAGACTGAGACTTTTTTTTACACTTTTTAGAATTTCGAAGTATACCTGGAAATAATAAAAAATACATGTGCTGCAGAGATGCTGGAAAATTTTCCTTTTTCTTTGTTTGGTCTATGGAAAACAAAAGATTTATCTGAACTTTTTACTGATTAAGATGATACAGAGTATTTATGATGTAAGGATAGAGATTCGTATTAGGTGGGACTTTGCTCCACAAACAAAAATATGTCTTTAGGGGTTGGCCCAGTGGTGTAGTGGTTAGGTCCGTGCATTCTGCTTTGGTGGTCCAGGATTTGTGGGTTCGGATCCTGGGTGTGGACCTATATATATACCACTCTTTCAGCCGTGTTGTGGTGGCATCCCTCATGCAAAAAATGGAGGAAGGTTGGCACGGATGTCAGCTCAGCAACAGTCTTCCTCAAGCAAAAAGGGGAAGATTGGCAACAGACATTAGCTCAGGGCCAATCTTCCTCACACAGCAAAAAAGTCTTTAACCTTAGTGTATTGAAAATCAAGAGCGTAAATAATAGATGATTGAAGTAATGGTAACTTAAAATATGTATGCTTTTGCATTTTGCATTACATTCAATATGTTAATTATTTGACATACTTATTTGAAATATTTAATATTTAAAAATAAAATATTTGAAATATTTTAAAATTATTTGAAAGAGATTTTCAAGGTTCTGGATAACAACAAATTCTTGAAAGTATTAGGAATCAACTATCAAAAGGGACGACTGTTTGTGAGAGCAGCAATGCAAAGGTATACATTTGGGAGTAAGTTATGCAAGCTTTGGTTCTGAAAGGAAGAGCTCTGTTATTTATCCTTGTTAATAGAAAGGGATCCAGGGTCACCATATTGGTCTAATATATAACTGTGGCTCAGAAGGCCAGCAACATTGGGCATCATCAGTGTCAGCCATTTCCTCTACGCCTTCCCCTCCGCACCCCGTTGGGACACTAGCAGTGTAGAAACACGGCACCTGGCACCATGCTGGAATCTGGGCACACAGGAGGAATAGGGCCGCTCGTTGTCTTACGCTGAGGGAGCTTCCAGTTTAGTGTGTCTTCTCCAGAGAACTCTTTATGGCCAGTGTCAGTATCTTATTTATTTTTTATGACCTTTCTGGCACTTGGTATTCTGTCTTCCGCTATGGCAGCCTAGCTAGGTGGCAATTTGGTGCTAGTGAGTGTATGACTTTAATATTTCCTCAACATTTTGTTCAGTGTGTGGGGAATTGTGTAGCTTAGCAAATATGAAGATAATTATTTCTCTCATCATTCTGAAATTCTCCTGTTCAAAAAACACAATTTTGTTTTATTTGATTTGAAATTTGAGGGCATAAGAAGAGTACTTAATGGTTATTGTTATTTAGAAACTTTCTTGTCTTGATGTCCCTGATTCCGTTTTTCTCTTCGGTCTCTTCCCACACCACTGACATTCCCCTTTTTGGTATCCTTTTCAAATTCGTCTTTCTCTGCCCTGTCTTTAAATATTGGCATTTCACTGGCTTCACCTCTCTGATCTCTTTTCCCTTCTTTCCTTATATGATACTCTGCAAAGACTTGGCTTCATGTCTTACCTATCTCCGGGTGATGTCCACAGCAGTCTTCATCCCTGCCCTCTCTTGTGAGCTTTGGGCCCCTTTTACTTTTACTTTGTTTTCCCCCTCTCAGTTTTGCAATCTTTTTTTGTCCCCTAACCTTATTAATATGAAAAGTTAAAAACATTCTAAAAATAGAGAGGATGGAATGATGAAGTCCCATATGCCTATTACCCAGCTTCAGCAATTTTCCACATATTACCATTACATGTTCACCCTGCCACTTAAAAAATTGTTGGAATATTTAAAAGCAAGTTCTGTACATACATCATTTCACCACAAATACTCTGACATGACCTCTAACTGATAAAGGCTTTAAAAAAAAAAAGTATATATAGAACCACCTTGCTGGTATCACATCTAACAAAATTAATAATAATTCCTTAATAACATCAAATACACAATCATTATGCAGATTTCCCCAATTGTCACCAAAATATTTTTTTTACAGTTAGTTTGCTAAGTCAGGATCCAATTAAGGTGTGAGTCACATGTTGTACACAACTAGTTAGCTCTTAAGTTTCTTTTTTCTGTAATAGTGTCTGTCACTTTTGTTTTTTTAATGCTGTGCATGTTAGACAAACCAGGTCCTTTAGAGTGTCCTACGGTTTGGATTGGCTGATTGCTTCTTTAAAGTGTTGTTTATCTTGTTTACTGCTTATATTATGTAAAATGCTAATTAGACCTAGAAGTTTAATTAGATTCAGGCTTATTTTTTGGCAAGAATCCTTCACAGTTGGTGCTGTGTACTTATTATTGCATCATATCAAGTGGTATATAATGTCTGATTGTCATAAATTTAGTGATGTTAAGGTTGATTGTTTGGCTTCAGGCAGCATCAGCCTGATTCTTTCATTGTAAAGTTTCTCGTCAGCCTTTCATTTAATAGCTTTAGCATCCATTGAGATCCATCTTTTCATTAAGGGTTACAAAATGTGATTTTTCTAATATTGTCATTCTTTCTGTATTTATTAGCTGGAACTCTTTTATAAAAGAGTTTCCTTATCAGCAGTTTGCTTACCCTGCAATACAGTTCTCATAGGAAAGGCAAGGTCATTCTTCTCTCTTTCTCTTACTTTAACAGCTTTAGTGAGGTATACTTTACGTATCACAAAGTTCGCCCATGGTAACTGCTATTAAATGATTTCTAGAAAATTTATACAGTTGTGAACCTATGCCCACTTCCAGTTCCCAGCAACCACTGATCTATTTTCTGTCTCTCTATATAAATGGATTGATATAATATGTAGTCTTTTGGCCTCTTTCACTTAGAATAATATTTTTGAGGTTTATCCGTGTTGCTCTATGTATTAGTAGTTAATTCCTTTTTATTGATGAATATTCCATTTTATGGAACTTTTTTCCCCTTCCAAAAACTGCAAAAAATTGCTGAAAGAAATTAAAAATCATCTAAAAAAAAAGGAACAACATGGCGTGTTCTAGATTGGAGATTTGATAGTTTATGAAGGCAGTGCTCCCCAAATTTATCTCTAGATTTAATGTTCCTTCTATCAACACTATTCTTCTTCAACACTCTTCCTATCAAATCCTAGCCAGCTTTTATGTAGAAATCAACAAACTGACTCTAAAATTTATATGGAATGCAAGAACCTAGAGATAGTCAAAAACAAAGTTGAAAGACTGAACTCGATTTTAAAACTTACTCTAAAGCTACAGTAATCAAGACTGGTATTGACATAAGGATAGCCATTTGGATGAATGGAATAGACTAGAGAGTCCAGAAGTAACCCTTCACATTTTTAGTCCATTAGTTTTCAATAAAGATGCAAAGCCAATTCAATAGGGGAAAGGGTAGTCTTTTCAGCAGGTGATGCTGGGACAACTGGATCTACCAAAAAATCTACCAAAAAAAAAAAAAAAGAATAGAAGGAAAGAAAGAACTAGACCTTTACCTGTCAGCATGCACAAAAATTAACTCAAAATGAACCATAGGCGTAAATGTAAGGGATAAAACTATAAAATTTCTAGAAGAAAAGTTATGAGAAAGTTTTTGTGACCTTGGGTTAAACAAAGATTTCATAGATATGACACCAAAAATGTGATCCATAAGAGAAAAATTGGGCTTAATAACTTTTGTTCTTCAGAGGAAAGCATTAAGAGAATGAAAAGACAAGCCACAGAGTAGGAGAAATTATTCACAAATCATTTATATGATAAAGGACTTATATTTAGAATATTTTTAAAAAAGAAAAAACCTTACAACTCATGAAGACAATGCAATTCAAAAATGGGCAAAAGATTTGAATAAGCATTTTATAAGAAAAGATATATGAATAGCTAATAAGCACATGAAAAGATGCTCAACATCATTAGTCATTATTGAAATGCAAATTGAAAATACGGTGAGATTGGGGCCGGTCCCATGGCCAAGTGGTTAAGTTCAAGTGCTCTGCTTTGGCACCCCAGGGTTGCTGGTTCAGATCCTGGGCGTGGCCCTACACACCGCTCATCAGGCCATGCTGTGGTGGCATCCCACATAGGAGAATTAGAATGATTCACAACTAGGATATACAACTAAGTACTGGGGTTTTGGGGAGAAAAAAAAATACAGTGAGATTGTGCTACACACCCACCAAAATGCCTATATTCTAAAAGACTGAAAATATCAAGTCTTGGGGATGATGTAGAAAAACTGAAACCATCATACATTGCTAGTGGGAATGTAAAGTGGTACAATAATTTTGGAAAACAGGTTGACATTTTCCTTAAAAAGTTAAACATATATTTAGCATACAACCCACCCTATATCCATATATTCAGCAAAATTGTTCATAATACCCAAAAACTAGAAACAATCCAAATGTCCATCCAAATGACTGTAAAAAATAAATAATTTATCTGGAGATATATTTTGGCAGAACTACCTTCATAAACTATCAAATCTTTGACCTATGAGCATGTGTCATTCCATTTTTTTCTTTTTTCGGTTATCTTTAATTTCTTTCAGCAAAGTTTTGGAGTTTTCATTATATAGGTTAATGTATTTCTTTTGTTAAATTTAATCCCAAGTATTTTATTCTTTTTGATACTATTATGAATAGAATTTTCTTACTTTTTTAAGTTCATTTTTGCTATTCTATAGAAATAAAATTGTTTTTATATATTTATGTTGAACCCTGAACCTGTTTGTATAGGATTGATATTATTTCATCTTTAAATATTTGTTAGAATTCACCAGTGAAGGCATCTGGACTTTTTGTGTTTGTGCGGGAAGGTTTTAAATTACTATATCAAATTCTTATTATATATCTGTTTCTTCCTA